GTCTATTGGTTATTAGCTCAAATCTAAAAGTCAAAATATAACATTTAAAACCTTTATCAACTATCTTAAAATATATAATCTCATATCTTTGTATTTTGTATTTCAAATAAATGGAAAAGTAGAAAGTATTATATTCATTACTTGTAAGCATCAACCAGAATTTTAATATTGATCAATGATACTCCTTTGATAAGTGTAAGTTTAGAGGTTGTGTGCATGGTTGTGTGAGTGTGTGACTGTGTATGAATCTGGAGTATATCTTTTCATCTTTAATAGTCTTCACCTACATCCTTGTATATTTCTTTGGTTTTTGTTGTTGTGGTGGTGGTGGTAGTTTATGTAGTCTTTTTAGCTCAACACTATACCCATACAACATGCCTTTAGAATAACAGTAAGCATTATTCAAGCATGAATCCTCTTCATGAATTTTCTAAAATCTATCCCTATTTCCCTACTATGGATCATTTATACCACTTCCAATAATTCAGGCAAAAAAAAAAAAAAAAGGCAATGAACAGTTTTGTGCATGTGCCCTTACATACATGTATAAGATTTTCTTGGCACAGTAGTACACACCTTTCCTAGCACTTGGGAAGTGAAGCTAGGAGATGAATCAGTTCAAGGCCAACTTCTAATATTTAGCAAGTTTGACACCATTATTGGCTTGCAGCTTCTGATAACTCCATCAAAACAGACAGCCAGCAGTGAATAAGAGATTCCACTGATCCACAAGCCTTTCACTGTGAGGCTGGTTAATACTTACTTTCTTTTTAAGTTTTGTTTTGTTTTGTGGTTCTGGAGACCACACTCAGGGCCTCATTGAGGTTTTAATTTGCATTTTCTTCCTTTAAAGCATAATTCCAACCTCCCTTCTTTCCTCAAACCTTGAATTCATCCTATGACTCACTCCTGGAGAAGAGGTTTAGTATACAGACAATCTGTGGCTCTGCTTTCACTAAACATAAATTGCTTTCTGGGAACAAAAGGCATTCATTAATGTGCTCATTAAGATTACTAGCCAGTTTAGATTTACAATAAGTTTCTGAGTTACACTGGTGAAAAAATTATTAAGGGTCCGCAACATGTTTAAAGATACATATGGATCCCTGGGACTGATGCTTGCTAGCTAAAGAATGAGGGTGTTATTCATGCACCATCCCCAAAAGGGAGGCATAAAAGATACATGTTAAAATCTTGGGATAAGAAAATTATTTTTTCTAGTATTACCAAGTATTAAAGCAGTTTTGGCATTCAATCGAATATGCTGATTTGTAATTTTGTGGGGTTGGGGCATCATTATTTAGAAATTTATTTTTAGCTCACAATTTTTTGTTTGTTTGTTTTGGTGCCTGTCCTGGATCTCGCTCTATAGACCAGGCCGGCCTCGAACTCACAGAGATCTGCCTGTCTCTGCCTCTCGAGTGCTGGGATTAAAGGCGTGCGCCACCACCACCAGTAGAAATTTATTTTTATTCAGGATCCTTATACATTACCTAATAGTAGTAACCTCTGTACATGCTTCTGAAATTGACTTGTGCATCAATTCCTGACAAAGCAATACTATTTTAAGAAACACTTTTCCTGACTACACTGTAATTCAACCTAACTACAAGTCAACTTTTATTACCTATTAGGACAAGAATCAACATCATATTTTACACAGAGATAGTACTTAAATATGCATGCAGCTAATGTTTTAGGGAGGAGCACAACTGAACCTTTACTATAAAGTGAAGCTTTTCAGACAAGGTTTATAAAAATAATATTAGTAGATCTAGTCTGAACATGTGGATATGGTTTCTTATGTATAAAAAGGTTAATTTAAAAAGAAAAGTGGTTTCTGAGTACTGAACTTAAGTCCTCATGATTTCTCCTCACATCTGACAATGGAGTTCATTTTTGTTTGTTTGTTTTGTTTTTAAAGGTATTTTATTTTCTCATGAAGCACTATGGAAGGCAGCATGGTGTAGATATGGAAAGAAATAAACCAATGGAAAGTAGGGTCCTGCTTTACTGCTTAAATTCTAACTTTCCTAGAGCTTCTAAGCAAGGCTTTAGCAACGAGCTATTTTAAGCTACAAAGCAAGGAGAAGACAAGTTGAGCTGCTGTGAAACTGTGACCCAAGGTCTGCATTAGGTAGGGTTCTGCTGCACAAATATGTGAGCTGTTCCTTTAATGTCTCAGAAATCTGAATGCCAAGGTTCAATAAATGGGTGTAGCTTGGCACATAAGTACTTGTTTTGAAAGTGCATAACTTAATTTATATCTTTTTAAAATTAAGTCTGATCACTTTCTAAATTTCCCACATCTGAATTTCCATTACTAGTAAACCTTATTTCCCATTTAACTACACATAACCTCCACAGAGATAAAATAGCAACAGTACATGCTCATCTCAGAAATGCAACTTTTAGGTTTGTTTAAGTGGTGTAGAGGGGGAAGAAGGAAACATCCCTACTTGTCTTCACTGCTGTTTTTGATTTCCTCTGCTCAAGGAAACAGGTGGATCCTGGAGGAACAGTGGGCTTTGAACTACTCAAGCCATACTCTCCTCTCCTCCCTATTCTCAGCCTTGAAAACTAAGTCTTAAAGCCACAGTGGCAACTGAAGGTCAGAACGATAGAGCTCCATAGATGTTCATCTCCAAAGAACTGTCGTTATCGGACTCAGCTAGTGGTTCCCTGGAAACCACGGTCACAGGGCCAGTGCTCTGTTACTGCATGTTTGCCTAATTCGGGGCCAGATGGTTGACACTGCAGTTCCCCATGGTGGGAACAGCTGAAAAAGCAAGAAGTCCACCGAAGTCCATGAAAAAAAAAAAAAAAAAAAAAACAAAAGCCAAGGAACATGATGCCATAGGCAGCTTCAAACAGCTCCACTGAATCCAAACAGTCACAGACCTGCTAATTTGGGAGCTGTATTACTAATTACTAACATTTCCCCTACGTGCACGCCAAAATAAGCTCCTTTATTACAAATAATCTCACATATTCCTATGGCTTTACTACCTCTAATATGTCAGTAATTTTAGATCTCTGACTCCAATGTGATCTTTTATGAGTCTAGACTATTAAGCTAATTTTTCTGGCAATTAAAACTATGCTACGTGACTAGGAACCTTACAGAGTCAGTTTGATCCCGGTCTCTCCTTTTAGAAGCTACTGATAAAATCTAGTAACATACAACTAAACATCACTGTAATTCGTAGTTTCTAAAAAGATGGAAATCTTCATGCTTTCTGAGACTGTGGTAAGAATGAAGGAAACAATGCACAGACAGGGGTTGGCTCAGCATGACACATGGCAAGGGCTTGGATGGTGACTGCTCTCATTTCCTCTGCTAACACATCCCCAAAGACCTAAAAATCATTTGAAGTTTTCTCATATTCCTTTCCCTTAAATCCTAAACCCGTTGATACCTCTGTTCTCTCTGGTGTAGAGGACTTTTTTTCCAAATGCATACTACCTTGCCCTAAAGGAAGATTAACCCAGCCCACTGGTGGCCAGTGAGATGTGAATGGAGGACAGCATGGATTTGAATGTTACTAGCAACAACCTACAAAGAGAAGATAATGCGGGCAGAGTCGCAGTTAACCTCTGATGGACATATAGTGTGAGCAAGAAAACTTTTGACTTACTGTTTAAAAGGACATTTCACCATAAAATTCTATTACTTCTCCTGACTGCTGGGGCTTGCCTGTCTTAGTGAGTGTTCTTGCCATCCCCATACAGATATTCAAATGGAATGCCTGGGAGATTATCCTCTCACTTTGTCCTGACTTGTTTAGTAATTCTACCTATTTGATACTTCACAAAGTATCACTAATTTGACCTTAACTCAGGTTCTCTTTATGTTCAGTCTTTCCCATGCTTTATGCCCCTTAAACATTTTCATCTACATGAAACAGTCTGCCTTTCAAAGAGATAGCCCATTCTCAGGGATGATAAAGAGCATGGTCAAGAACACCCCTTATTATACCAAACGAACCAGTCCCAACTTTACAGCCTCAACCACCTTATCTAATGCGTATACATCAAGCCAGTATTTCCCCTTTTCTAAATCATGGGGGCGGGGGGGGGGGGGGGTACCAAGCAACTAAGAAATGCCCCACTGCTCAAAGCCCACTGGCATTATCACAACTAGCCAATCCCAGCTGGGCAGTGGTGTCGCATGCCTTTAATCCCAGCACTCAGAGGCAGAGGTAGGCGGATCTCTGTGAGTTCAAGGCCAGCCTGAACTACAGAGTGAGATTCAGGAAAGGCGCAAAGCTACACAGAGAAATTCTGTCTCAAAAAAAAAAAAAAAACTAGCCAATCCCATTTGTCCTGCCTTGCCTTTCATGGACCCTCTTCCAGCAAAACTCTCAGTGGAGGCTTCCTTATAGCCCATGCTGCTATCTCACACCTGTCAGCTTTCTTTGGAAAATGCAAATAATAAAAAGCTTCAGATAATGTTATCAGCATCTCTCTGTTCTCTTGGTCTCCAACATAAAGCAAAAGCCTGTGGAGACACATCAGATGGGACACTTACAAAACAATAAAAGATACTAAATGGAAATAATTATGATTAAGACTCTCCACAGGACTTGATGAGTAGTTCTGCTTCTAAGTGGTAGTGCTGGGGGTCATATCAGGGCCTACCATGGGCTAAGCATATGCTCTATCACCAAACTACATGCTAGTCCAGCCCAAGATTATCTTCACCAACATCTTAAGTATATTCAATCTGTTCAGAAGAAGAATGCATAGAAGCTAAAGAAGTTAAATTTAAATTAGAAAACTGTTGAGCTACATGAGAAACCAAAATATCTGACTGTCTCTGATGGTGGCAACATGCACAGAGCCGAGCATCCCACTTGTGAAACTCACGTTCCCTGAAACTGAGCAAATGTGGAGTTTCCAACAGCATGAGTCATTCCAACATTCTTATTTCCTCTAGCACTGAGGGTATCTCAGATCAAACCTAAAACCACACACTTTAGAAGACAGTTGGGGGGGCCACGGCCGTCGGACTGAGGGGCTCGGCAGGTCGGCCAGGCTGCGTTCGGTGTCTCAACCCGCAAGCTACACTCCTTAAGAATCAGCTACCCTTGCTTCCTTGTCCATCGTCTCCGCCAATCATGCTGGAACATCTGAGTTCGCTGCCCACCCAGATGGATTACAAGGGCCAGAAGCTAGCTGAACAGATGTTTCAGGGAATTATTCTTTCTTCTGCAGTAGTTGGGTTTATCTACGGGTACGTGGCTGAACAGTTTGCGTGGACTGTCTACATAGTTATGGCCGGATTTGCCTTCTCGTGTTTGCTGACACTTCCTCCATGGCCTATCTATCGCCGACATCCCCTGAAGTGGTTACCTGTTCAAGACTCAGGCCCAGAAGACAAGAAATCATCGGGGGACAGAAAAATGAAGAGACATGCCAAAAATAATTGATCGGCGCTTTCACGATTCAAGTCATATTTTAACTTATAACTGTTTTATACCATCTCTTCATAATCTTGTTATGGAGAACAGGAATATAAGTATGCAATGCTTCTTTCAGGTGTACATGATGAATAAACACCTCATAACTGCTAAAAAAAAAAAAAAAAAAAAAAAAAAAGAAGACAGTTGGGCAGTTTCCTACAAAACTAAACACTGCTTTATAACGTGACCCAACAGTCATTCTCTTACTATGTACACCCTTAGCTAAAGCTGAGATTCACCCTGAACTCTGCACCAGAATGTTAAATACACACATAAGTGTCCAAAACTCAAGGTACATGAGGTAGGTTTCAAAAGAAAACTAGACAAATGATCTGATCTAGAACAAGCACACAATGTTTATTACACAATAATAAAACAGGAAGGGCCAATTAAACCCTGAGAAGAAACTGTCCAGACCATTTTGTGAAGTCAGAGTAACCAACTGGAAAAGGCTACACTGTGAATTCAATTACACGGCATTCCAGGAAAGATAGAAGTACATCAGACAGCAAGAAAACCTTAGTGACTCCCAACCTCAGGGACAGTGAAGGAGAGATGACCAGGGAAACACAGGACTTCTTGGAGTTGGAAAGCTACTCTGTATATGATAATTTAAGTATATTGTATCCACATGTCAAAACTCATAGAACTACAGAACACGGAGCATGAACCTTAACACTGACATTCACCAAATAATGATGTTTTGGTGGCTGAGAGACTGCATATATTGTCTAGTGATGTCATTTGGGTTGTATTTTATATGTTAATATTTAACACTAATGTGTTAACAGAGGGAACCACTGAGGAGGTGATATATTAGAACTCTCCATATAGTCACTCAATTTTTCTTACAAGCCTAAAATTGCATAAAAACTAAATAAACCTCTCGTCAAAGAAAGTTCTTTTTGTAACAGAGACTTCCAGAAAAGCACAACAGATCAAACTGCAGAGAACAAGAGATCATGTGGTGCCCAGTTCCAACTGACGAATCTACAGCACAACTCCTGAACCTAAGGCTCAGGGATCATTACAGAAGAGAGGCTGGGTTTTAAGAGCCGGAGGCATAGGAAGGTTATTGCGTGGTTGTGTCTCCTAGAAATGCAAGAAAGGCTACACTCAACAAGTCTCATCAACATGGCTGCCTAAAAAAGACCTGAACAATGACACCAAGGAAATGATAATGCAGCAGAGGAAAACTTGAGGGCCCTCAACCTAGCCAAAGAACTATGGGCAAGAACAGGGAATGCTTTGAGTAGGAGAATAGTCTTCCCCAGGAAGAATCCCTACAAATGGTTATCTAGAATCAAGTGGTCAGCCCTGAGATCACACATATACAGGTAACATGATACAGATTGGGCAGTGTGTGTGTGTGTGTGTGTGTGTGTGTGTGTGTGTGTGTGTGTGTGTGTTGGTGGTATGTGCACAACATGGGAGAGTTAGGGGGAGGAAAGGGAAGGAGGAAATGATGTAACTAGGTTACAATTTCAAATAAATAAAATTATTATTAGAAAAACAAAAATCTATTACTAACAGTGTTGGTGATGTACGCCTTTAATTCCAGCACTTGGGAAGCAGAGGCTGGGAGAGCTCTGTGAATCTGAAGACACTCTGGTCTACATAGCAAGTTCCAGGCCACTCAGAGCTACACAGTGAGACCCTGTCTCAAAAAAAAAAAAATCTACTAGTAAGAAGACAAAGCCAAAACAGACTCAGCTGTGTTAGTCAAAAGAGAGGATGCCTATCACTGTTTCCCTAAAAGCAGCACTAGATGTCAGAAGAGTCCTGCTATAATCCACAAGCCAAACCCACTATAGCTAATACATTAGTAGATATAAGTAGTGAATAAAAACAAAGTATTCTTGAGGGGATAGGTAATCTTAATAGCCAAATATAAGGAAGTTAATTTGATCCCAAGAGATACAGGAGAAAGCATCCCACTGAGAAAGTCCAGACAACAGATGAAAGTATCTATCTGTTGCTGTGGAATTCCCATACCATTCTGGCACACGCTTTGCGCTGCCTGCAGAAGCATAGTTTGCTGTTTTTCCCAGGCTCCGGATGATGTCACAACTCGCAGGGGAGCTCTGACTTAGCTTATTAGTCAGTTCTTGAACCAATATTAAGAACATCCACTGTCGCTAGACAGTGGTGGCATATGCCTTTAATCCCAGCACTTGGGAGGCAAAGAAAACTGGATCTTTGAATTTGAGGCCAGCCAAGTCTACACAGTGAGTTCTAGGACAGCCAGAACTGTTACTCAGAGAAACCCTATCTCAAATAAATAAATAAATAAATAAATAAATAAAATATCCACTGTCAAGTTTATTACCTGCCTACCGCCAATTTTTGTCTGCTATACAGTTTTTAAAAGATACCTTTTAATGTTATGTGTATGACTGTTTTGCCTGTGTATATGTAAGTGCACTGTGTGTATGTCTAGTGTCCCCAGAGGCCAGAAGTTGACACTGGATGTCTTGGAACTGAAGTTAAAGACAGTTGTAAACCATGTGGGATGGTAGGAACTCAACCTGGGTCCTCTGCAAGAAAAACGTGTGCACTTAACTACTGAGCCGCTTTTCCAGCTGTACTTCGGTGTGGTTTTTATATACAGCCAGTCCTACAGCTACCGGACCACTCCCCCATACTTCTGCTTTAGTGTGTACTATTCCTGACACCATTTACACCACTACTCCTACTTCACAGCCTCAGTGCCCTCAGGTTTTAAGGAATTTTTACCAATGGATTCTCCTTTTTTGAGAGAAGAGAAACAAGGCATAGGCCACTGGGGTGATATGTCAGCCTGGTACTGTGTCTTCCCCTCAGCAGAATACACAGCTACAGCGACCAGGGCAGTGTACTGTGATTAACTACTTAATAGTCACACTGAAGCCAGTGACTGGTCTCAAGCAACAAATGTTAACAGAAATCTGTCAGAGACTCATAAAAGTACATGAGTATCTGCCACATCTGTGAGTACTGTGGGAGGGGAAACCTTAAGAGACTCCCATCTGACCCTGAAAAGCAAGTTAGCAAAAGAAGGTGATGCTAAGAAAGTGTGTGAGCACACGTGAAGACAAAAACCAAGACAAACACTTTCCTTGCCATGTTCGCAGAGGATAGAAAAATCTAGAACGCAAGTCTATTACTACTGGTTATTCAACAGCAAAGAAAGTAGCACCTTAGCTATAAGAAAACAACAATAATAAGACACAAGGTAACATACACTTCCATTTCCTTACCTGTTGTGTTCCATCTGCACTTACAATGGGGGCAGACAGAAGAGAGATGTCGCTACTTAAAATCTGAGCTGTGTCTAGCAACGGTGGGTGTTCTGCCATTATCAATAAGGCATTGATACACCGGATAGCCCTCCAACTCTGCAAAACAAAAAGACGAGACACTGATGTGTATACATCCAGAGAACACATTAAAATGCACTCAGGAATTGCCTCACTAACAGACATACTGTCCAAGGAAATCCAAAACGACCTCCTGACTACTTTTTTTCAAACAACTCTTTGAGAAAATGTATTCCTTAAACCAACCAAGGTAACTATTAGTACATTATATATACTAACCCTAACACTAATACCAGAACCTCTCTTAAAATTCATGTCTGTTTCTCCACCCTTCCATCCCAGATAGTGGTTATTTAATTCAACCATCACAGTTTCATCTACACTCTATGAGAGGTATCAAAGCACAATGGCTGAATGAGGCAACTCTACCTCTGACATGTTTCTTTGAGCAGACAAGGGAATTACAAAGAGCCAATCTCTCTGTCATCTTGTTTGCCTTGAGGCACTACACAAAAAGAATTATGATTTCTCACTGAATACTGATACAAAGTAAAACAGTTTTGTTTTTTTTTTTAAAGAACTTACTGAGGATTAGGATAAGAACCTTCAAGTTTTAAGTTTTAAGCTCTTACATTATTCATTCATCTCTTTCATTATTCTTTTATAAGTGAGAACAACTTACTTTTTGTTAATGAAAGGATGTTTGCATGCATTTAGAAACCTTTAATGGCAGATGCACTAGCACTCATATAGCAAGGTGGGATGGCAGAGGATTAGTCTATACAGCATGAACCAATAAAACATCAGCAACCAAGCAAACTGAACATAGTCATACATGTTACTAAGTCTAGGCTGAGCTGTAAAATAAACATTTTTGAATGTTTTCAGCATTCACCAATTCAATGCTAAGGGGCAAAACATTCAACTTCCATAGATGAAATTTACTTTTTTTTAAATTTTAAACTGTTGACTCTCCCAGAAACTCTTAAAGAAGTTGATTCAACTTGAAAACGATTATCTGTATTAGAAACTGCTCTGAGACTTTACAAACTGCATTCAACACAGGTACTTATTGATGATTTCATACTGAAAACCCTAACAGGGAACGTCTTACATCATTAGCTGCCTTATAAAAAGGTATGCCACTTAACAGTGTTTATACTACATACATACACACAAGAACAAACTAACTTCTGGCATAACATGCACTACTAAATTACTTAGAGACTGATAAACCCCAACACTCTGAGTCACATCAAATAATTTCTGTGGAATTTACAAATAACTATAAGGTGGCAAAGAGTCACTGTGATATTTTGACACATTTGTTAAGTCTAATAATTTTATTATATAAGAGAAAAAACATTTCCAGCAAGTAAGCTCACAAAGAGAGCTTCTGTAAGTACTTCATTTCTGTTCCTCCCTTCCTCTTTCGTTTTCTTCCTCCGCCTCCTTGCTACATTGGCAAAGAATCAACAGATGGACTCTTACTTCAACCCTCCTCCTGGATAGCAGGATAGCAGCGTATCCTGCTATGGTAACCTGGATACCTGGGGCCACAAGTATTTGCCTTCCTCCTTCTCCCTGCACTCATTTTTCTTTATTCTTTTCGTGTGTGTGTGTGTGTGTGTGTGTGTGTGTGTGTGTGTGTGTGTGTGTGTGTAGTTTATGTGAGTGTGGGTATTATGTACATGCAATGGCACAGTATGGAAACAAAAGTCAACTTTCAGTTGTTGGTTCTAGCCTTTCCACTACATTTGAGACAGGATCTCTTGTTCATCACTGCATATACCAGGCCAGCTAGC